AAGACATCCACTACCACACGGGTGAACCTATGAAACGGGAAGTGAAAGAAGCCAGGCACAAAAAGCCATATACCATATGGTCCCATTTATATGAAATGTGTCCCAAAGAGGTAAATTCACAGAGATTGAATGCAGATCAGGACTGTCAGGGCTGGATGGGGGCAATGAGGAGCAAATACTGACAGGTGGTAAAAGTGTTTTGGAACTAGACAGATAAAGATTGCACAATATTATACATTTATCAAATAAACACCAGTGAATTGTGCACCTTAAGGGGACAGAAGAAAAGAGCTGCTTCAACAGAAGCTGTGTATGGCAATTGCATCAAATAAAATCCCGAGTTGGAGCAAGGAGATACAGGCAACTGAGTAACGTGGGAGGAGCGGGATGAGGGGCTCCAGGGGCCAAAGACGGGGAAGCCATGCCACTGGCTCGCTGCTCCCTGACCGGTGCGCCCACAGGAGGCAGCACACTCCCAGGCACGGGCCGACTCAAAACAGCCGGGGAGAGGCTGGCAGGCCAGCGCGTCCCCCTGACCTGGCACACACAAGAGCATTACTGCCACAGCGACGGCCCAGCCCGTGCACACAGAACCCTTTTCATTCCTTAAGCGGCCCTTGAGCCAAGTCTGGGCCATGGGGACAGGAGGGCAGCGGCTGTCCCCGCACAGTCTCTGGGTCCCTGCAGCCCGGTCAGGAGCTCTGGACATGTAACAGGCCCTGAGGGAGCGTCCAGGTCCTGGAAAGGACAAAGGGGACATTTCAGGTCACAGAGAGGCATGGATCGACCCAACAGCCAACGAGGGTGCTGCCGGGGGGACCTCATCGGAGCCGCTGTCCCTGCCCAGTCCTGGACTCAGCCCTGCCCTGTCTTCCTTCTCATCCTCACAGCCCCGTGATTTTCAGGGAAGGACCCTGGAGCAGTCGCCACTCCCAACATGAGGACAGAGTTGTACAGGGTCCCCAGCAGTGCAGGCTCCAGGACAGGAACCCCAGGCTGACTTAATGCCTTCTCTGCCACACCCACAAGCAGCTAACCTTGCTTTTCCTACAAACTGCCCCCAGGCGGCAGGGGCATCGATGGGAGCCCCACTGCCCGCTGAGAACGCTGGGAAGGCCTGAAGGTGCATGGTGAGGGTTACACAGCAATGTCAATGTGCTTAATGCCACTGAGCTGTGTACTTTCAAAGGGTTGGCAGGGTAGCCATTATGGAATATTAAATATGTGCATTTACCATAAAATAGTTTAAGAATGGATCTGGTAATGGGCTCTTAAAAAACTGTCAATAATTTTTTTTAAGTAGATATCATACATACCACCAGGTAAAATTTAGTGAAAAGACAATAAAAAATAGCAATCTCCTGGGGGTGAGGTGGGCTCCTTGGATTCAAATCCCTGCCCTGGAACTTACTAGCCGTGTGACCCTTCTACGCTCCTCTCTTAAAGGCCAAAGTCAAGTGTGCCTTTCTCAAGGATGGAACCAGCTCAGTCGGATCAGAGAAAGCACAGCCGGGAGGATACCCAGCCCCTCCTGCAAAGGTCTGGGTAGGGGGCCGGGGATTTAGCTCAGTGGTTCCACCTGCCTCGTAAGTGAAAGGTCCTCAGTTCGATTCCTGGTACCAAAAATAAAAGGGTTGTTGGAAGTGTCTCTGATCCCCCAGGGTCTGCCAGGGAGGCTCCAGTCTGCCAACATGGTGCTGAAGCAGCCACAGCCGTCACTACATAAATGAGTGTGGCTGATCCAATAAAACTTTATTTATAAAAATCATAGCTTGCCAGCCCCCGGCAAGGACCCTGTTGTAACATGCCTGATTCTAAAAATAAATGGTAACACTCAAGACAAGAACAGAGCCCTGTCCATGGAGCTGCCCCGGACGGCCCACCTACTCTCTTCCTGCACCTGAGTGTGCATGGCCCCCTGCTGATCTCCACCAGCACCTCGTACCCCTGCCTCCCACAGACCTGTGTCCCTGCACTGTGCACCTGGCTGTGGAGAGCCGTAAGCAGAGCAGACCCTTTCTGAGGGCATCCAGGGCCACATAGGACACGGTGGGCCCTCTACCAGCTAGCCGGGAGTCCTTTCACAGCCTCTGATCCCTACAGCACCAGGGCCACGACAGCGGCCATCGCCGGGTTGGCATGCCTGTGGGGCCAGCCCTGCCGGGACGCCTCTGCCCTGGGGCTGCTCCCCTGAAGGTGCCCATGTGTTCCTTACCTAAGGGGAGGCGCGCAGCTAAAATAAGAAAACTCACAGGAGTGGGAGGTGGAATGATTGCAGCTATTCTTCTTATATAACCTCACGCCCACCCTCCAGAAGACTCGAGGAGCTCAGAGAGGCTGAGCCACTTGCCCAAGGTCACAGAGCCAGTGCAGTCTGGGCTGAGCCACAGTGCAGCCCCTCGGTCCAGGCCTGCTCACCCAGCCCCGCTGGTAGCGGGAGAAGCACGAGAGGGCCCCTAACGTGGGCATCTGCTATGACCATGCCAAGGCAAGCAGGCTTCTCCACAGCTCACACATGCTTCCTCCTTTTGTGACTACCTATTAAGTTCTGATTGGGCCCAGGGACCACACCTGTGATCCCCATACCCACCCAGCAGGGCCACTGCCCTGATTTGTACAGGAAATGAAGGCTCAGAAAGGTCAATCCTCTTGCCCAAGACCACACAGCAAAGGGAATAAAACACAGGCCAGTCCAACTTCAGAAGCCCTGCAGGTTGATCCCACCCCGGTGGGAAAGGAGACTGACCCAGGAGAACTGGGGCACACTGAGTCACCCCCAATCTCTCCCAGGGAGGATCCCATTTGGTTCGAAACTCAGGTGGAAGGCAGGGTCTAGATGGGATCCCTGGGGCCTGCAGGAAGAGTGGAACGACCATGTGTGGCTGGCCTTGGGGACTGTCCCTCCTGTGCCTCTTCCTCACCTCCAGCCCCACACACCAGCAGAGCGGCCCAGAGGCCACCCCTCCCCATGAAGTCTTCCTGGTCAGGCTGGGGGAGCGGGATGCTCTCCCCCTGCAGTCCTGCATGTGTCCCTCTTACAGGGCAAGCAGCATCTCGTGGCCTGACCCCCTGCCCAGGAAGGCAGAGCCCCCACCACAGGGAGCTGATGCTCTGACCTCCCTGTGGCCCCAGTCTGCAGCAGGCAAGATTGGCCTAAGGACAACTACACATATGTGCACGTACATGGAGTCTGAAGATGAGAAAACACACAACCTGGCAGTCATGAAAGGAACGTGAGTGTTGGGCCGTATAGTATGAATAGGAGTTCTACAAATAGACCAGGAAGGGGGAGACTTTGGGAGAAAAACAGTATGAGGAAAACTCCATGTGAAGACAGATGTGTGGAACATACAGGTGGCACACTGGCAGAGACAGCCACAGGGGAGGGGACAGGTGGGCCTGGGAAGCCAGGATGTGAGGGACTTGTGAGGTCAGGGGCAGCGGGAGCATGGATGGTTTGAAAAAGGAAAACAGCAACCGTCTCACTGCTTGGGCCCAAACTGGAGTTTCTTGCTGTAAGAAGACTCCAGAGTCACCCACACCCAAGCCTGGAGCGGGGAGGCGGGCAATGCAGGCCTTGGGGTACCAGAGTTTCCAAACAACACTCTGTAACAACCCCACGCCCCGCAGCCTGGCACCCCCAGTTTTCTCCATGGCCAGGGTCTCCGGGGAGTTGACTGCGCCCTGCTAGACCAGGCCCCTTGGGGAGGAGAGGTCCTCAGCAGGCAGGTCCCAAACCGGCCCCTCCCCAGCCCAGGCCCGAGTCTCCACCCCGCCCGCTGCTCCCACAGCCTGGCCCTCCAGCCAGTGCCAGGCCAGCGGTCACCTGCGTGAGAGAGGTGACATTCACTGGGCGGGTGGAGCCCTGGGTGGGCGGCCGGGCTGGGGCTGCGCTGGCCTTCCCCCACCTCCCCTTCTGGTCTGGGAGGCACAGGCGGTACAGGCATCCGATGGGAGAGAGCAGAGTGACTGGCCTGACACAGGGGAAGCTCAGGCGACACAGGGGAAGCTCAGGCGGGACCAGGGGCTCCCCGACCTCAGCGTGCCGTGCCGGGAGCCGAAGGAAGGGCGTTCCCACAGGGGGAACAGCACGACCAAAGGCCAAGGTCAGTGTGAGGGAGTGGCGCAGAAGTGGCAGTGGCAGAGGAGGCTGGAGGTTAGATACACTGTCGCTGGAGCTTAAAGGGCCGGGCAGACACTGGCGGGGAGCCCAGGGCGGCCAGGCCTCGGGGAGAGGTGTGTGGGAAGGGGGCTTTTAAGGCCGAAGGCGGCAGCCCGGCAAACGGCCTCGATGGGTGTGGAGGCCCAACCTCAGCAGCCCGATCTACAGTGGGGAGGATGGGGCGCAGGGCTGGGGACCAGCAGGGCGCCCGCATGGTGCCCGCACCGCAGGGCCGATCCTTGCTCGTCCGTGCGCCCAGGGCAAGCCGGCCGGTGGCAGGGTGGGTTGCAGCCTTTCTTCCATCTGGCCAGCCTTCCTCTCCGCGCCCACGTGGGCGGAGCGGCGCGAGGGTGTGCGTGGCGCGGCTGTGGCAGCGGGTGCTGTGTCTGGGGTGGAGCGGGGTGCGGCCAGGGCGGACGCCCCCTCCCGGCCCCCCGCTGCCCCGGAGTGGCCCTGCCTCCAGCTCCATCCTCGGTGCTACCTCCACAGGGGTCCGGGGGACAACGGGGAGCCCCGCTGGCCACGCCCCCCACGCCACTCCCGGAGGCGACGAATGCCCCCCCTGGGCTGGGGCGGAACGGGGAGAGGAGTGGAAACGGGGTGGCGTGAGGGACGGGGGCGGGACGCGGAGAGAGCTGGGGCAGGCGACGTGGCTGGGAGGTATGGGGGGGGGTCTGGGCGAGTGGGGGATGGGAGGGCAAGGGGGGGGCCGCGGGGCGGGGTGCGCGCTGGCTGGGGGCGCGCGGCTGCGGGGACACGGGCCGCCCTGTCCCCTGCCCCCGGGCCCGCCCATCGGGCGCGGTCTGCAGAGCCCCTTCCGCGGCGCACCTGTACCCACCTGCTCGGCGTCCCGGCCCGAGCCGGGCAGCAGAGGCGGGCGTCGCCAGCGCAGTCCCGCGCGCATCCTCGGGCCGCGCCTCCCGCCCCGCGCGCACGCCGCGGTCGCTGTCGCTGCTGTCGCCCTGGCCTCCGCCGCCTTAGAAAGGACTGAGGAACAGAAAATAAATGGACGCAAAATCGTAAAAACCAAGTGATGCGCAAGGACAGCAGCGGCTGCGGGACCGGCAGGGCGGGCGACCGGCGCGTGCCGCACTCTCGCGGCTGCAGCTCCCGCGGCAGCCGGGCGCCGGTTCGAAGCCCATCCCCAGCCCTCCCGCGGCGCCCCTCCGATTGGCCCGTTCTCCCGCCAGTCAGGGAGGGGGCGTGGCGCTCTCCCTGCCCCGCCCGGCCCAACGCCCGGAGCCGGTCTGCCCCCGCGAGGCTAGGCGCAGCCGAGCGTGCGCACTGGGGCCAGAGCCGGGGTCCCGCGGCGGCCGAGCAGCCCTGGGGGTCTTCCAGGCTCCCATCAGGGCCAAAGTCCTGGGGAGCGCGCCCCTGCGCTCACCAGGTTCATACCCGGGAGGCGGGGAAGTGGGGTGGGGGTGGGGGTGGGGGTGGGGGTGTCTAAGGCGATCGGAGCCATCGTAGGCCAAGCAGTGGCCAGGGCCGATGGAACAATCGCGGGTGTGCATTTCCTTCTTTGTGCAGACCAGGAATTTGAAGGTCAGGGGTTAAAGGGAAAGGTTCAAGGAAACAGAAGTAGCTAGTGACAGAGCAGGTGTTCCAACCAGGGAATCCTAGTTCTGAGCCCATAACCTTCACCACGGGGCCAAGCACCTCACTGAGCAGTGAGTGCTTCCGTGAACAACGTGAGGTCAGTCTGAGTCCTGGAGGAGGGCAGTTTGGCCAGGCAAAGATGCAGTCCTTTGTCCTGGGACACAGCTATTTACTGAGCATCTACTACAACAGTCTGTAAGTCTAGGGGTACCAAAGAGAGAGAAAGTCCCCACCGGAGTGGGCTTAAGTGCTGTCAGGGAGGAGAGGAAAAAGCGACCACACCCTGGAAGGCCTCAGGTTAGCACTCTGCGGAAAATGGGGCACACCTGAGAGCCTGGAGGGCAGCAGGTGTCCCTGGCAGCAGAGAGGTGAGAGGAGGGTGAGGAAAGATGAAGATGGGGAAGCGGGCAGAGGCCAACCCTTGTGAGGTTCTGTAGGCTACGGGACAGAAGTCAGAGCTCACCCTAGACGCTGTCACCCGGAGGACAGGCCTTGGGACCAGGTTTGCGGTTCTAAAATGTGTAAGATGAGCTGTGTTGAGCCGCAGTAACAAACAAGCTCAGAGCTCAGTGATTTCTGTTTCTTGCTCACACTTTGCATCCCTCATCCAGTGGCTGGAGCTGTCAGGACTCTGCCTCCGCGGAGTGCCCACGGCCTGTATGGCAGATGAACGAAAGGTGGTGGCCTGTGCTGGCTTTTAAAGCTTAGGCCTTGCTGGTGCTTGGACCTGGGTGGGAGGGAGGAGCTGTGGGCTGAGGCTCAGGTGTGAAGGGCTGAGCTGCGCGCCCCCCCGTGGTACCTTGAAGTCCTAACTCCCGGTGCCTCGGAGTGCGCCCTGTTTGGAAACAGGATAGCTGCAGATGTAATGAGGTAAGACAAGGTCATGCTGGAGTAGGGCAGGCCCTTAATCCAGTCTGACTGGCGTCCATATAGAAGGGAGAACGGGGGACCTCAGATGCACACAGAGAGAACACCCATGCTCGTGGCCGGCCTGTATATCAGCTAGCCAAGGGTGCCAGAGACTTAAGCCAGGGAGAGTGGGGAGAGAGGCCTGGGGCACCCTGTCCCTGGCATCCTCCAGAGGACAGCACCCTGCTGACGTGGAGAGCACCAGCCCCCAGCTTGCAGAACTGAGATACTAAATGTCTCTTTTTGGAGTATTTTAATAGGATTATGTTTAGCTCTGAGTGAACAGAACCACAATTACACAATGGTTTAAACAAATCTTTCGGCCACTTAACAGGAAACCCAAAAGCCAGCCAGCCCTCATGTATTCTGCTTTCACTCCTTCCTGCTCAGCATGCAGTTTTCTTTCTCATAATATCTTCAAGGTGACAAGATGGCTGCCTCTCCGCCAGCACCCATCATACTTCCAACCAAGAAGGAGAAAGGCAAAAGGCACCCCCCCGTCGACATCAGTTCTCTTTGATCACTTTTCTAGAAGCTCTTCCCTGAGACTTGTTTTCTCTGGTGGGCTAGAACAGTGTCACATGGCCATTCTGGCATCAGAGGAGGCTGGGAAATTTAAAATATATATAAATGGAGGGCACATTGCCTCCTGGAAAGAAAGAACAAAACAAAGAAACACGGTTCTGTTAGAAAAGAGAGGAAGGACTGGGGTTTGGGGGGGTTTTCTTTTTGGTTGGTTGTTTGTTTTTTGAGACAGGAACTTGCTAGGAAGCCCAGGCTGACATTGAACTCAAGGCAAAGCTCCTGCCTCAGCCTCCTGAGTGCTGGGATTATGGGTGTATGCTAACCTGGCTAACCTATCCCTTTTTGTGCTTTTACTTTGAGGCAGGTCTTCCTAAATTGCTAAGTTGCCCAGGCTGGGCTCCCACTTGCCACCCTCCTGCCTCAGCCTTCAGAAGTGCTAGGATTACAGGCATTCACCACCACATCTGGTTCTTTTTTTTTTTTTTTTTTTTGGTACCGGGGATCGAACTCATGTCCTTGCACTTGGGAGGCAGGATGCGGAACCACTGAGCTAAATCCCCAGCCCTGGTTCTTTTTCTCTTAACCTCCAGTGTCATTTCCATTATTTAATGGATTTTGAACACCTAACCAACTAACTGTGCTGGATCCTGGCTTCATAACACTTTATACAATTTGGGGACCTACCCTTAAGAAAAAAAATTAAAATAATTACAAATACCAATTTACAAAGTGAATACTTAGAGTAGTAACAAAACACAACAAATTTTTTAGTGTTTTAAATTAAGAAATATCACAAATATTACAAAATCCAGCAAAGTGACATCATAATTTCATTACTTAAGTACCTGACATCCACCATTATAATAATTTCTACATCCTTTAGTTTCCTTGCCTTTTGGGATTGTCTCTTCATAGAACAGTGATTTTATACTAAAAATCACTGCGTACAATAGATAAAATAGAAAGATAAGTCAAAGTTCCCTATGATGATGGGGAAAAAATTTTAATGTAGGTTAGAAAGCTTTCCTCGGCCTCGGAACTCATTATTGGTAATGTATGTACATATTGGGGATTTTTTCAAACTGGGAAAACTACCACTCATAAGTGAGTGCTAAGATATGGAAGAATTACATTTATTCCAGTTTTCTTCCTGTGACTATTAATTTTCATGATGAAAGCGGACTGCACAGTTTCACCACAGAAAGTGCCTAGACCAGGGCTTCCTGAATTTCCATCCTGGGCACCTGGAGAAGAGGGAAACGCAGATGCTCAGGGTCCCCCACATCCTGCTTGGCATTTTGCTGAGCTAACACCTGCTGAAGCTAAGTCATCTCAGATTAGGTGGCCCCAGGTTGCCCTGTGGCTCTGAGTCCCCCAGCTCCCCATGCCCTGTTGGCAGAATTACATTTTCCACCTCTGTCTCTTCTGCCCACATAGTTCTGGTCTAGCCACGTGTATTGCATGTCTCCAGCTGACGCCCATGGATTGGCACAGTGGGTGGAGTCACTCCTGGAAGCCATGGCACCTGCTCAGGGAGCAAAAACTGGACCTATACAGCAGACGGGCTCAGACTCAGGTAAACACATCCCATGGGACCCAAGCCAGGCACCCTGACGAAACTTCCCTTCATCTGCAAGCCAGAATGTCCAGCCGCTCCCAATAGGAGAGGAGGCACCATGACAGAAAGTCAGAGGGTCAGAGGGTCAGAGGGTGTCATCATCCACTGAGTCTGACTCCCAAGACCCATATGTTGACATTCTAACCCCAGCACTCAGAATGCGACTGTGTCTGGAGACAGGGTCTTGACAGAGGTGATGAAGGTAATATTAGGTCGTTAGGATGGGCCGTCGTCCAGTCTGGCTGATGTCCTCACGAATAAGAGAAGATCAGAATGCAGACACAGACCAAGCAATGAGAGTGTGAGGGTGCAGGGGCAAGGGGCCGTGTGCAGGCCACGAGCGAGCCTCAGGAGGAACAGCCCTGCCCACCTCTGATCTTGGACTCCAGCCTCCAGAGCTGGAAGGAAATAATGTCTGTGTTTCAGCCCCCTTGGGGTCCTTGGCCGTGGGAGCCCTAGCAGGGCTGAGCCAACCGCAGCTCAAGGGTCTCATCTGGCAAAACACCCCAGATGCGCAGCCACGTGAACCCAGAGCTCAGGCCTTGAGAGGGTCTGGAGCTCAGACTGCCCAGCTGGGCAGGGAACCCACCCCTGCGGCCACCGTGCGTCACCACATGGCCTCAAGGTGGCCCTGAAGGTGGATGCCGTCAGGATCTCAGGAGGACTCTCCTGAGGCCCGGGAGTGACATGTCCCAGGACACCCAGCGCACACCCAGAGTACCTCTGCTGCCTGCAGGACACCACGTGACAGGGGTGGCCCGAACACACCTGGAAGTCACAGGAGGTTCACTTTGGCTCAACATGAAAGTGAGGGTCCTGTGAGAGAGGGGACTTGGGGCCAGAAAGAACCTGAGGACACACAGAGTGACCTGCAGGAGCTCCAGTGCCACTCTGCCACATACACTGATGACCTTGACACGGAATTGAGCCTTTAGTTTCCTCAGTTTCCTCGTCTGTCAGATGGAGTTGGTAATCACCGTAACCTCTGAGGCTCAGGTGGGGCTGAAATGAGTTGGCTCTGAACCTGACCAGCTCCCAGGGCCACTGTCAAAAATAACCACAGCCTGGGGAGCTGAACAGGACAGGCGTGTTCTCTCACACTTCTGAGGGGCCGGAGTCTGGGAGCTGGATGTCCAGGGCTCCCTGGCCCAGGGCTCCGGGGGAGGAGCCTTCCTGCGTCTTCTGGCTCCTGGTGGCAGTGGGCATGCCTTGGCCGGAGCTGCCTTGCTCCAGCCGCTGCCTCTGCCTTGCTGGGGCCCTCTGTATTGTCTCTTCTGTTTTTTGTAAGGACATTTCTCATTGGCTTTTGGACTCCCCACAAGCATCCAGGATGATCTCATCACAAATGCTTAACATAATAGCATCTACAAAGCGCCTTTTCCCAAATAAGTTCCCCTATCACTGATCTCGGGATGCGGACCCATCTTTAGTCCCTGTACGTATGCAGTTCTTTCTACACAGATGCAATAGTTCCTGTGGAGGAGGA